CTATAAAATTAATCAAAAAGGAAAGTTTTAAGCCTAGCCTTAAAAGTAGACAGGGTGTCTGCCCTTACGGACAGGTGTTCTGTGAGGGGTTTTAAAGAACATTAGAAAGATGTGGAAATGTTTAGATAGAAATTGGGATAGAAAAAATACCCTAAGCATTGAATAAACTGAATTGAATTGAATTGAATTGAATTGAAGGTAAGCATTACATTTTCTGTAAAAAACAGAAAATGTATCCTTTTTTTGTTGTTGTTATAAACAGGACACAGAAAACACCTGGAAAAACGACCTGTTCAGATAAAGACCAAAATTAAACTTTTTTGTCTGTTAAAAAACAAACATTGTGTGGTGGAAAACAGAGACAGCACCTTACCCTCAGTAAAACAAGGTGGTGGGGGGATTATCCTGTGGGGATGCTTATACCAAGAAAAGACATTCAGTCTTATTATTGTTAGTTGATAAAATGTGGGTTCAGGGGTCATGCATGTTTTTGTTCTGCAGTTTAAAGGTGAGCTTGTTAGGTTCCAGGTCTGTTACATGAGGAAGAGAAGCAAAGTAAAAAGGACTTTTGTTTTTCTGCATAATTACAGCCTTTCAGTTTTGTACCGGCATGTGAGCTCTGAAGCTAAGGCCAATAGAACTCATATTTCCTTACATTATCTTTAAAGGTCACACTAAAGGAAAAGATACATCCTAGCTCGGTGCACATCCTTCCGTTATTTTCCTGATTCTTTGAATATTTTCTAGGATCTGTGGCGTTCTTCCTGATCTTTTGGAGAGAAATCAGTTTGCTAATTAGTTGATGTGGTGAGTTTTTTGGGGAAACATTTTGAGCAAGCGATTAACCGATCAGCAATCAATGGTTTTGTGTTGCTGCGCTGGATCCAGGGGTGATGTCGCCAGGCGTTGACCTTTTTAATTAAGCTAAAGAAGATCCATGATTCTAGCAGCAGCAGCCGTGAAGGCTTTTGTCCACTCCTGAGTCACTGAATGCACGTCGGTGTGCTGAGAGAAGAGTGTGCCTCTTCACATCTCTGTTCTCTTAAATTCCTTTTGAAATCAGCGAGCTAAATTTAGCTCGCAGCACCCCTCCCCCCATTTCCAGAGGTATCAGAGCTGCAGCAGACAGTGATAGGCTAACGTTTTGAAGTGCGCAGTCCAAACACACACACACGCAGATTAAAGTGAGTGGCACAGAGTGGGAGGTCGCTCTGTCTTTGTGCACAAAGTGTGGGCTATAGCCATGATAAATGGTTGCCGTGCAGCGAATGAGCTGTGAGGGTTTGTCTGTTTATAAGCCTGTTTTTTCTGTGTCTCAGGGCTGCTGCTTGAGGACAGTGGGGGCTCTCTAATGATCCCACCATTCATCCAATGAACCCCCTTAACTCCATGAAACCCTCCCTGCCTCCGACTCCACAAAGGTACCCATACACGCCCACACTGTGCTGACATTAAGCTCAGGTAATTCACATGCTTTGCAACGACGAAGAAGAGTCTTTATCTCTGTGACCATCTCATTGAAGCAACAGTGCCACTTGATTGTCGATCTGCACAAGGATTCATTTTGAATGAATAATTGAACTCGCACGTCCGCAAAGACCTCTAGGAGGAAACCAATCTGCATGTTATTCAGTCAGAATAAAGAAAGGAAGCACATCGTTCAACATGCACTGCAGGTCAGTGGCTGATCTCTACCATTCAGACCACTCTGACTGTTTTGTTCTGCCTTTATGGATAAACTACTCAGTTCCAAAGGGTTTTTTTTCTCCAACTATAATAAATTTACTGAATACAAAACAGCTGCAGTCATTAACACCAGTTAAATTCTATTAGTGCTTAGTCTTAGTAATTTATGAGATTAAAGTCAGAATATTATGAAAGAATTTTTTTGTTTGTTTTTATTAAGTCAAAAGCTTTTGATACAGTTACAAAACAAGCTCTACCAAAACTGCAACCCAACTGGCTGGGTTATGTTCAAACCATTGAAAATTAGACCTGCAGACACATCTGTTGCTTTTATGCTACAAAATGCGTTTCTTTTTGTACCTAATATTCTGGCCAGCTTTTTATTAAAGCATCTTCCTATCTTTCAAGTATGACAGGTTTTTTTTTTTCTTTCAAGAGTTTTTTATATTTGTACGAACTGTCGTAAGAGCTGTCTCTCATCAGCAGGGTTTTTTTCCGTGTGGAGCTGTCCGCTTAGTTACACATTTTCCTTGGTGTGGACTTAGCTGAGGGGCGTTGAAGCCATCCATTCATCCATTTTCTGTTATCTTGTCCCAAGAGGGGGCGTGAGGGGTGCTGGTGCCTATCTCGAGCTGTGAGAGGAGGCAGGGTCCACCCTGGACAGGTTGCCAGTCCATCACAGGGCAACACAGAGACCAACAACCACACTCAAACCTAAGGAGAATTTAGAGAAGCTAATTATCAATTTTTTGGACTGTGGAAGGAAGCCGGAGTACCCGGAGAGAACGCACACATATTCAGGGAGAACATCCAAACTCCATTTAGAAAGACCCTTGGCCGGGAAGAACCCGGAACCTTCTTGCTGCAAGGCAGCAGTGCTACCCACTGCGCCACTCAGCAGCTTGCGTTGAAGCTAATATAACATAATTTGACCTTGCAAACCTTAAACAGTCTAGCATAAATAGAGCACAATAGTAGAAAGATTGCTGCTTTCACATGGAGTCGCTAAACCGTAAACACAGAGAGAAGTCACTAGATTTGTCTCTAATTGCTTGAAAAAAAATTAGCAGGAGGGGACTAAAAAACTTCTCAAATATCGCAACAAAGTAGCTAAGTTGGCAACACCGGTTTTCCATCGCTACAGAGCAGTATCCTGTAGCCACCAGTTAGCTTCATTCATTAGCCGGTTCACAGCAAGACAGACAGGGGCAGACAGTGTTGGTATGTCACAATAAAGTAAATTCTGATTATGATTAGTATAAGTGTGCAAGTATATGGGATTCTACATCATATGCTCAAGATGTCTCCAGAGGTTCCTAGTTACAAACCTTTACTGATTGCAGCTGAAGCTTTTCCGCAAAGAGATTTCCTTCTAGTTACCAAATTTGTTGGTGCACAGTGTGGAAATTCAGCCTACGTAGATGTTGTGGAGGGGAGTGGAAGCTAAAGCCTTGTAATTTGACTGCATGGACCTCGCCAAGATGTCGAGCATAAATCAAGCTTTAGCAAAGCATTTTAACTGAGACGAGTGACTGCTCCTTGTAGTAAAGAAGAACCAAAGGTTTAACCAGACACAACAGAGGAATGTTTAAATATTTATTGACATTTTTGATTATAGATCCCCAGTCAACCAGCAACAGTGAGATCAGGGACCTCTGAGCGAAGAGATATAGATTTGTGGCTGGGCAAGGTAGAGTTCAGTAATGAAGACACTAATCTTTCTTAGAATGGAAGATGGACAAAGCTGAAATTTGGCTCTTATTGTGACGTCATTGTGCGACTGGCATAGGTTCTGACTGAGAATCCTTGGTTTTATTTTTAGGAATGAACCAACAAATTCACAGTCCGAAATCACAGGACCCAATCTTCAGGTTTACAAACCCAGGGATTTGACAGCAATGGGTGATTCCCGATCAGGGAAGTTGTATTGGGTCACCTTTGAAGATCAAAAGTCAGGAAAATATCTTATGTGGGTGAGGAAGAAAAAGGAAATTCATCAGGGAGAAAATAGAACAAGATCAGGCAGGCAGAAAAGGAACACTGGACATTTACTGACATGATGGCTTTCAATAATCTGGCACTGTTTGTCAGCCAGAGAGCAATATATAATGCCAGATATGTAGGTGGAGTAAATGAGGCATAATTAAGAGACGGGTGAGACGTAGGTGGAGATGATAAGCCAAATTGCTTAGAGAGGATCAGAAGCAGAAAGGAGTTAGACTGAGAACATCTTCTAGGAGTTTCAGAGTGTTATACCTCTTATATTGTAACATTTATTAGTTATTCTAATGAAATTACAACTTTATTCTGCTAATGTTGCAACTTTAATGTTATACATATAATATTATTATTCCAAAAAGTCACCAAAAAAAACAAACCAATGGACTTTATTTTCCAAAATGTCTGGATTAATGTTTTATAGAGCTTTATAGAGTAGCCCAACAAAGCCTAAAACCGTTAACTTTTTTGAAATGACAACGACTGAGGATCTTCAACAACTAATATTATGACTTTGTTTTTGTAGAACTCTGCTTTTTTTTTTCTTGATTAATACAAAAACTCTTACTTTGGCACAAATTATCTGTTGTAAGTTATAAATTCAACAAGGCTTGTAAAAGTTTTCTTGAATATAACGGTGAGTTGATTTTTACTTTTCATTGTTCCATTACATGAAGCAAAAATCAGATCAAGTAAAGTATATAAAACAGGCATGTAATAAAAAAAAAGTACAATTCTTGTGTTTTTAGAAAATCTTCGCACTTTAAATAAATACTCTCAGAGGATTTCTATTGATGTCCTCATTACTTTATGATAGATCAGTCCAGCTTGCCAATTAAATCAAAAATTAAATAAATATCTGTCAGTTTAAAAGTTACAATGCTTTTTTTTGTCTCAATAAGTTGAACTAAGTCCACCATTAGTCAAAGCCTTTCAATTTTAAAATTAAAGGTGTTTTTAAGCTTTCATTTAACCAAGATCAGGTATCTGCAGAAAGAAGAAAAGACAAAGGTTTAGGAACAACATAAAAAAGGATTTTATTAATACTATATTGAAATGCTAAAAACTATTGATGCCCCTTGCTAGTTTCAAGTGGAAAATCTCCATTAAATTGACATGAGTCAAACTCCTCCTATTTTTGCAGGATGTTAGAAGCTTCCATCCGTATTTTGTTGAGGTCAAAAATGGAAGGCCTCATTGCCATTACCCTAATCTTTAGCTCCCTCCACATATTCCCTATCAGATTAAAGTCCCCATTTGCTTCTATTAAATATTGACATTTCCTTAACAGTGAAGAAACCTGTTGCTAATATTGAACTATTACGTAAAACCCTTACCAGGTGTGGAGATGAATAATTTTCTGCTCAACTTTATCTGTTTTTTGTTTTTTTTTTTCTTTTTTTTATGTAGGATATTTGTTGTGTTTATGCTTAGGAATATATGCTAAAATCACAGTTTTGGGTAAAATTATAATGCCCTGTATTTTTCTCATCACTGTTCTGTGGAGTACCAGAAAAAAGAGGTATTTAAATAATGGAATTTATATCACTATCAATTTAAATCCTACAATTCCAATTAGAAAAGTGTTTTCTTAATGTTCACTTTAGGTTAAATCATTAAAAAGGGTTGCAAATTGTAGTTCTTAATATTTCATATATAAGTTTTCTTTATTTTAAAAGGTTATTTCCCTTTTCCTTGACCCCCCACCCCCACCTATTCTATTTAACGGATTAGTTTAAAAATATTCAATAACAGGACACTTTTTAACAGTGATGTCAAAAGTACACACGTTTGTTACTTAAGTAGAAGTATAGATACTGCAGTTTAAAAACACTCAACTTGACCTCTTTACTCAGTAAAAGTGAAAAAGTATGTGCTCCAAAAACTACTTAAAGTATAAAAGTATAAAGTAACGTTTAAAAAAACCAGCCAGATGCCACTATATGAATTAAAACCCAATTTTTCACTATTTCTAAAAATTCTTTGAGATGGGACCAAGGATGAGGGAGGTCTTGTTTGTCTCCCGATACGCTCTCGCCTGTGTCCGACCTTTCAGAGCCAATGATCTGCATTGGATGGCGCACATGACGGGAAATAAATATTTATAAACATTAAAACTAGGGGTAAAAATCAGTGGGGTCTGAATAAAGAAAATAATCAATCAGTAAAGGTCTGGAAACATTTTAATGATCTGTTACTTTAAACAGAATTTAACACTGAAATAAAATAAGGTTTAATGCATTTATGAAGGTAGCATGTATGGCCCAAACACAAAACAATAAAAAAAGTGTTCAAATGCAATTTTTTGAGTCTCAAATATGTTATTTAAATTCCAAAACTATTTTCTATGATTGAAAACGTTTATCTTTTCATTGAAGTTACTTATTTTTCTTGATTCTGTTGTTTGTTTGTTTGAAGCAGCTTCTTTTCTGATTGAATAATAAAGACACAAATGTCCTACCCATTATATGTTCCAATCAAAAAACAATATTACTTCAATTAAAAAAAAGTTGCTTTAAACAAAAAGTAATGCACTTCTATCAAATAAAACACTTTCAATCAATGAAAAAAAGTGTTCAGATGTATTTTTGTTTGAGTCTCAAATATATTTTTGCATTCAAATACTTTTTTTCTTTGATTGAAAAGTTTTTTTTTCATCAAAGTGAAGATTTTTTTTAATTGAAAATATATTTTTTGATTGAAGCAACCTTTTTTTGATTGAATAATAAAGAAACAAATCTACCTTTATATGCATTTATGTTATATATTGAATTTTTTAATAAAAAATATTTTTTAAAAAAGAAAAAAATTCCATTTTAAAATCTAAAGTCATTTTTGAAGTAGAGAACAGCAATCTCTCAGTTTAGTATATAGATAATTTCATAATTCACATATTTTATAAAACACCTGAACTGATTATTTGTTATTTTTTTCTTTCATTTTTTCTGTCTTAATGTTGGCAGTGGGCTTTATGCTGCCCTGCAAGGCTTTAAACCTGGTTTG